GGCAGCAGGCTCGTTTGCCCCCACCTCCAGTTCGAGCAGCTCTTCCAGCTCCACCTCGACCTGCACCAGCAGCACAGCCTCAGCACAGATCCTATCCTCGAACTAGACCTCTCCCTCCAAAGCAGCAGCTTTATCAGGAAGCACACAGGCAGCAACCTCAGTGACAGATGTTCATGATGTCAGCCGTAGAAGCTGAGGCGAACGATCAAGTTATCACTGGTAAGAATTGTTCATCTTAGTCTTAATTGCATATGAATTTTCTTATTACATAATGATATCATGATAGGATTGTTTATGAATACTAAGTTAGTTGCATTCATCCTCCTATAATAGGCAAGGTTTTTGTTTCCTCTGTCCCTGCTTTATCGCTCTTTGACTCTGGAGCTTCCCATTGTTTCTTGTCTCGTCGATTTGCGAGTGCCCATTCTCTTCCTATAACTCCTCTGACTACGGGCTGGAATATCAACACGGGCAGTGGTGTCTTAGTAGCATCTAGTGGTTATGAAGCATGCCCTTGGTCATCTGTGGGAGGGAACTCTTCGCAGATTTTCTGGTGATAGATTTGCCGAGCTTTGATGCAGTTTTTAGGATGGATTGGTTGGGGTCGTTCTTTGCCACCATTGATTGTCGTCGTCGGAGCGTAGTATTTGAGATACCGGATCACTCGAGGTTTGAATTCCTCAGTAGTAGTACATCGGCTGGACCGGAAGAGTACAGAGCTAGACCGAAGAAGGCAACGTTTGCTGCCATGCAGGTGGAACCCGAGAAGCCAATTGTAGTTCGGAAATTTGAAGATGTGTTTCCCGATGATATTTACGGATTACCACCGGATCGAGCAATTGGGTTTTCCATAGAACTGAAGCCTGGAGTTGCTCCGATCTCCAAGACCCCTTATCGTATGCCTCCGGCTGAGTTGACCGAGCTTTGGACTCAGTTGGATGATCTTATGCAAAGAGGCTTGATATGACCCAGTGTATCGGCCTAGGGAGCACCTGTGTTGCTTGTGGGAAAGAAGGATGGATCCAAGCGAATGTGTATCGACTACCGGGAGTTGAATGCTGTGACAGTGAAGAATAAATACCCTCTTCCCCATATTGATGATATCTTTGACCAATTAGGAGGATCGAGAGTATTTTCTAAGCTGGATCTGCGGACTTCCCCATATTGATGATATCTTTGACCAATTAGGAGGATCGAGAGTATTTTCTAAGCTGGATCTGCGGAGTGGATATCACCAAGTGAAGGTCAAGTACTCTGATGTTCCCAAGACTGCGTTTCGGACGAGATATGGACATTATGAGTTCTTAGTGATGCCGTTTGGTGTGACTAATGCACCAGCGACATTCATGAACCTGATGAATCTGGTATTCTATGATGTGTTGGACAAGTTTGTAGAAGTCTTTATTGATGATATCCTAGTGTACTCTAAGAGTGAAGCGGAACATACAGAGCATTTGCGGTACGTGTTGAAGACCTTGCGAGAGCATCGACTATTCGCCAAGTATAGTAAGTGTCAGTTCTGGCTAGACCGTATTGCATTTCTAGGACACGTGGTGTCAGGAGACGGCATATCTGTGGACCAGGATAAAGTAGCTGCTGTTAAGGATTGGCCTACCCCTAAGTCGGTGTCCGACATTAAGAGCTTCCTGGGATTAGCTGGATATTATCGGCGGTTCATCAAGGATTTCTCGAAGATTGCAGAACCGATGATGCGTCTTACGAGGAAGGATATTAAATTCATCTGGTCCGACGCTTGTGAGCAGGCGTTTGAGGAGTTAAAGTCTCGATTGATTTCGGCCCCAGTCCTGACGATACCAAATAAGAGCGGGAACTTTGAGGTGTTTTGCGATGCATCAGGAAGAGGATTGGGATGCGTGCTTCAGCAAGATGGTCATGTGGTAGCGTATGCTTCTCGTCAGTTGAAGAAGCATGAGCAGAATTACCCTACCCACGACCTGGAGTTGGCAGCTGTGATTTTTGCCCTTAAGCTTTGGAGACATTATCTGTTGGGAGAGCAAGTGAAGGTGTTCACTGACCACAAGAGCTTGAAGTACATTTTTACTCAGAAGGAGCTCAACATGAGACAACGCAGATGGTTAGAGCTAATGGCAGATTACGACATTGACCTTTAGTACCACCCTGGCAAGGTCAATGTAGTACCAGATGCTTTGAGCCGTTTGCCAGCAATCATGACCCTCACAGCTCAGTGGAGACTTTTGCAGAGAGGCTTGATACGACCCAGTGTATCGGCCTGGGGAGCACCTGTGTTGCTCGTGGGAAAGAAGGATGGATCCAAGCGGATGTGCATCGACTATCGGGAGTTGAATGCTGTGACAGTGAAGAATAAGTATCCGCTTCCCCGTATCGATGATATCTTCGATCAATTGGGAGGATCGAGAGTATTTTCTAAGCTGGATCTGCGGAGTGGATATCACCAAGTGAAGGTCAAGGACTCTGATGTTCCCAAGACTGCGTTTCGGACGAGATATGGACATTATGAGTTCTTAGTGATGCCGTTTGGTGTGACTAATGCACCAGCGACATTCATGAACCTGATGAATCTGGTTTTCTATGATGTGCTGGACAAGTTTGTAGAAGTCTTTATTGATGATATCCTAGTGTACTCTAAGAGTGAAGCGGAACATGCGGAGCATTTGCGGTACGTGCTGAAGACCTTGAGAGAGCATCGGTTATTCGCCAAGTATAGTAAGTGTCAGTTCTGGCTAGACCGCATTGCATTTCTAGGACACGTGGTGTCAGGAGACGGCATATCTGTGGACCAGGATAAAGTAGCTGCTGTTAAGGATTGGCCTACCCCTAAGTCGGTGTCCGACATTAAGAGCTTCCTGGGATTAGCTGGATATTATCGGCGGTTCATCAAGGATTTCTCGAAGATTGCAGAACCGATGATGCGTCTTACGAGGAAGGATATTAAATTCGTCTGGTCTGACGCTTGTGAGAAGGCGTTTGAGGAGTTAAAGTCTCGATTGATTTCGGCCCCTGTCTTTGCAATACCGGATAAGAGCGGGAACTTTGAGGTGTTTTGCGATGCATCAGGAAGAGGATTGGGATGCGTGCTTCAGCAAGATGGTCATGTGGTAGCGTATGCTTCTCGTCAGTTGAAGAAGCATGAGCAGAATTACCCTACCCATGACCTGGAGTTGGCAGCTGTGATTTTTGCTCTTAAGCTTTGGAGACATTATTTGTAGGGAGAGCAAGTGAAAGTGTTTACGGATCACAAGAGCTTGAAGTATATTTTTACTCAGAAGGAGCTCAACATGAGACAACGCAGATGGTTAGAGCTAATGGCAGATTACGACATTGACCTTCAGTACCACCCTGGCAAGGTCAATGTAGTACCAGATGCTTTGAGCCGTTTGCCAGCAATCATGACCCTCACAGCTCAGTGGAGACTTTAGCAGGAAGTGAGAGAGATGAGTATAGAAGTTATACTTCCAGGGGTCACCGCTTCCTTGATGAATCTTCAAATTCAATCGAACGAAGATGTATAAGGATCTGAAACTAAACTTTTGGTGGCGTGGTATGAAGAGAGATGTGGCTCGTAGTGTGGCAAAGTGCCTCGTATGTCAGCAGGTGAAGGCAGAGCATCAACGCATCGCAGGTCTATTGCAGCCATTACCTATTTCGGAGTGGAAATGGCAACATGTCACCATGGACTTCGTTACTGGCTTACCTCGGAGCACTAGACAGAATGATGCTATTTGGGTGATCGTAGATCGATTAACCAAATCGGCTCACTTTATTCCATTCCGAGTAGGACAGTCAACGGAACATCTTGCTCAGAAATACATGGAGGAGATCGTACGATTGCACGGAGTTCCAGTATGGATCATTTCAGATCGTGATACCCGATTTACCTCAGAATTCTGGAAGAGTTTGCAGGCGAGCCTTGGGACCAATCTCAGTTTCAGCACAGCTTATCATCCTCAGACCGATGGGCAATCGGAAAGGACCATTCAGATTTTAGAGGATATGCTTAGAGCATGTATGCTTGACTTTCACGGGTCGTGGGAAGATCACTTGCATTTGGTGGAGTTTTCATACAACAATAGCTTCCAGGCTAGCATTGGAATGGCTCCTTTCGCGGCATTATATGGGAGGAAGTGTCGCTCTCCTTTGAGTTGGGACGATATTGGTGAACGAGAGATTTTTGGGACGGAGTTGATTGACAAGTCAGTTGATGCTGTCAGAATTATTCGGGAACGACTTCGCATAGCACAAGACCGATTCAAGCATTGGGCGGATGCGAAGCGTCGACACTTGGAGTTTCAGCCAGGAGACCATGTGTTCCTAAAGATTTCCCCCAACCGAGGTAACATTCGCTTTGGAAGGCGTGGGAAGTTGAGTCCACACTATGTGGGACCTTTCGACGTATTAGAGAGAGTTGGAGAAGTGGCGTATCGACTTGCATTACCACCCGCATTGGTTGGAGTGCATGACGTATTCCACATTTCTCAGTTGAGGAGATATGTCAGAGATCCGAGTCATATCGTAGATTTCTTGGAGATTGAGGTGCGACCTGATTTGACATACGAGAAACAACCCGTGGCGATTCTGGACCAAAGAGAGAAGACTCTCCGGAACAAGACAGTTATGCTCGTTCGTGTGATGTGGCACCCAGATTCTCCTGGCGAGTCGACTTGGGAGACTGAGTCTGAAATGAGACAACGATACCCTCATCTGTTTCTTGAATCTTAGTTGTCACATCTTGTACTATACCTGTATTGTTCTTGTCTTACTTTCTCCCTGCTTATGAAAATGTAGTTATTTGAATCATTCTCTATAGGTGTTGAGTTAAGTATCTCTTTCCATATCTCTGTCCTTGGGTTCTTTATACATCACCATTATTTTAATTCCGAGGACGGAATTTGTTTTAAGGGGGGTAGAATGTAATGACCGTAAAATTTTAATATTAGTTAAAATAAATTTTTGGTATTTTAAATATTATTTTTAAAAAGAGTATTGTATTTTTCTCGATTTTCTAGAATTTTCTATAATTTAAAAATCTGATTATATAGTTATTTAAATGGTTTTGATATTCATAAATTAATTTAGTGCAATGAAAATTTCTGGAATTTATCCGTTGTGTTACTGATACTATTACATAATAATTCTTGTATTATGTTAAATTATTAATTACGTATTATTTGTGTAAATTATTATATTATTTTAATTATTACGTATTAGCTGTCGTATTAGCATAACTGATACGTTTTATCGTGTAAATAATTGTCACATAATTATTTGATTTTAAATGTAAGTAAATATATTATTATTATTATTTATTCTAGTTTAATTATACAATATGTGTATATTTCGACTATTTCGTATCAACTGTTGTATTAGCACAACATGTATGTTTTTATTTGTAGATAATTATTCCGTAATTGGTTTATTTTTTTTATACCCGTAACTATTTATTTAATTATTTTCGTTTAAATACCTGAAACTATTTGAAAATAATCCCAAATTATTTTGCTTCCCGCGTCAAACCCCCAACAGCTACCCCCTCATCACGTTCTCTCCCTCCTCTTTTTTTCCAAGAAAACGGCTCCACGTGCACTGTAAAATTAGACTAAGCAGCTCCACATCAATTATATTTTAATTTTTTATTATTAAATTTTCCTATTTAAACCCACCCTCAGCCAATCTCCTCTCGTGCTCACCCTCTCTCTCTCTCCTCCATTTCCCTAAAACTCCACCCAGCT